TGCTGGGCTGGTGCTGGTGCTGGTGCTGGTGCTGGTGCTGGTGCTGGTGCTGGTGCTGGTGCTGGGCTGGTGCTGGTGCTGGTGCTGGTGCTGGTGCTGGCGGCGGCGGTGATTGCTAATTTTCTTATAACTGCTCTTCTTGTTATTGAAATTGTATTGAAATTGTGACATCTTACCGGTGTTGCCTTTGTTCTTATTACCTCTAGTATTCGTCGTATTGTTGGTATTAAGCGCTAGTAGGCATCATTGTAAAAGAAAGGATGCAACATCGCATGGTAGTGTTGCTTCCTCCCGCCAGCAAGGCAAAAGCCATGGTGGAGGTTGCTGCGGATGAGGCCACGCTTGGCTCAGGGTAGCATGGGACCTTGTATGCATTGAGTGAACCCGGCTTTGCTTCAACAAGTGGAAGTCTCATGGTCTGCAGGATCCATCCTCTACCGTATTCTGTGATCCTTCTGCTGTATTTATTCAGGGCTTCGGCATGTTCTGTGCTGTGGAAGGCACTTCGTCGCCCTATTCGAACCTGGTCGTCTCAGGCAGGCCCCAAAATCATTGACTTCTGCTGGATGCTCTGGGTTGAACTCAGTTGCAATGCTTAGGACAACCTGTGCCTACTGCAGCAGTAAAGTGTACCCACCGCCACTGCTATCAGTGATGGTGAGAACCGAGGCTGACAACCCCTTTACTAGACCCCAAGCTCTGTTTCAGGATCTTGCACATCCAAGACAGCAAATTTTAGGCTCAAAATGCCATGACTAGAGACCATGAGCTAAAGGAGACTCTGCTCATGTCCGCTCCAGGGTTTGGTGACGTTGTGCTGGGCTTCGGCTGAAGCAGAGATCGCGCCATCTCAGTTGTCGCGGGCTCGATTGGGCAGTTTTTTGTGATATGCCTTTGTCTTTAGATGAAAGAAGTTTCTAGAAGAGCAGTCGCAGTCAACAGTCTGCTGCTCCGGTGCAGCATTTCTCAGTTTTCGACAACAGAAGCATGAATGAAAAACGACATTAGAAGGTTGTGTCAAGACTTTGGCTTCTACATAGGCTCCTGACAGAGGCTGAAATCGGTGACAGAGGAGCTGCACAGAAGACCTAACACCTTCAATGCACGGAGCTTAGCGACGACTTGCTGTACTGTAATAATTGGGAAGATCTGAGTGGCCGAAATTGACCATACTTGATTTCTGTTGCTTCGGGGGATGCTGGCCTCTAAGCTTTAACTCCCTGGGGTCATATCAGGCTGTGAGATGGATGGAGAGCTAGCTTTAAGATGAGTAAATGCCAGCGATTCTCAGGATGTCGACCTGGCGACCCTTGTCTTCACACTGAAGGAGACGAGCAGTACTTACCTCCCCTGGCACAGATTCAGGCCATTGACTGTTGGGAAAGATGGACCACCCCGTGTGGAGCTCCCACATTCGCTGAACATTCTTCACGCAGGCGCCATGACATGCTACAAAACATCATGACTTGTTCGGGGCTGTAGCAGATGTTAGGCTATGTACCCTCTAGGCTTCTGTATGCAGAGAAACTTCCTCTCGTGCTGGCAATCCCCCAAAGCCATCTTGAAGCGAGGAGGAGATCTGGCCCTCTGAGCATCCTATCAGGCTCAGAGCTCAGAACCTGGAGCCATGTGAGAGAGAGAGCAGCTTTTGCGGAGTTCTTGGCAGGAAAGCCTGCCTACTTCGAATCCAGGCTGAGGCCTCGAGGCATGGCTTTTGCCTTGTCAATGCAACAGGTCCTCTTTCTATCAGAGACGTCAGGAGACATTTGCCAGCCACCTCCGGGATGTTGAGGCCTGAGCCCACTTGCCTTGCCTTTCCCGAGCATGTAGGACCAGAAGCTTGCGCCAGGAACCTCTCGCAAAGCTTGCAAGCCAGCAAGCCCGTGCCGCCAAGTGGCGGTCCTGACGGAGCGGCACAAAACAGCTTGCTACTGACTTCATGCTGCAGCCATGTGCCTCTGTGATTCCTGGATTCCTTTTTGCCAAGCTGTCATAGCTGAGTCTTGCATCAAGCATTTAGCGCTCAGAAGCAGTTGAATGATTCTGGCACGCGGAGGCGCATCGCCTGCATTTCGCTGGCGAACCGGGTGGCCTCTTGCATCAAGGACTCAGTGCTCATCATGCTGCATCGCTCGTCGACGCTGCATCATCAGTCTACTCCGGCGCAGGCTTCCTTTGGTTTTCGTGCTTTGGGGCAATCTTACTCCTTACGCAACGGGATAGGACCGAATCATTGACGAAGCGTGACTTTAAAAGATTCGTTTACGTGCCTGGATGCATTTTATTGCCCAAGTATTTGTGTCAACGGATGCGCTTCCAACCTGATTGAAAAACGGTCGAGCCATCACGTTTAGTAGGTACTGGTGTTCTGCAAAGATGCAATGAATTAGGTGCTGCTTTTAGCGGTGGCTAATTTTTGGTGGGCAGATTGCAGTATTCTGCCATGGCTGCCGCTGAAATGCTCCCGTCGCGGGTCGAGCAGAGGCGAGTTAATCATTCTGGTTCTCGATGCAGAGATTCTTGCGACAAACAAGTTTGGAAAGCGATGCGCAGGGTGCGGCGCAGATGCTGGAAACTGGTTGTGGTCAAGCGCTTGATAACATTTGGGTTCAGCATCTCTTGCTGTCCAAGCTTCCTTAGGTTGGTGTCCTGGCCACGCAGGCCCGGATTCGTCTTTATTTCTGCCAGTTTTGTAGTCAGAGTCGGAGGTCATGAGCAGAACTAGCTCATTCGCACCTTCCTCAGATTTGTTCTGGAGCTTGTCTTTTCAAATTTGGGTGCGTTAGGGCAGTGCGGCTTGAGAATGAGCTCACGCGTGTACGTTCTAACTGTGCTTGGGCTGCACAGCCAACAATTTCCATAGCATATCTTCCACGGGGATGGGCAATGGTCCAAAAAGCTGGCTTGTGCAAATCGTTCGGGGGCACGGCTTGTAGCATCTGGCGCGTGCGCGGGAAATCATGGCCAATAGTCCGGACGCGTTTGTTGGAAGGTGGTGTAGCACTGCGCCAAATTCCCTACGCACTAGGCTGTTAATAAGTAAGTTGGATAACAGAGGCTTCAAGCCAGTCCTGCTCATAGTCTGCAGGTCACAGACGGGCAACTTCGCCAGTCAATCTGAGTCTGCGCCAGAATGTTTTTGACTCAGGTTGCTACACCTGGTGACAGGGCAGACTTTCAGCGGCGGAACGCCTTGCCGAGGCCTCAGGACAACACCTGCTGGAGCAAGTGTGAGCGCAGTGTGCGCTTCCATGAAGGAATGGGTTCGCCCCATGCTCCGTGCCACAATCACCCCGAGACCTAGGATCATGTCCACGATCAGTGGCACTCTCGCTTCAGACCCTGCTTGGGCCGGAGATGTGTTTGCCACAGACTCAGCCTTCTCAAGTTGCTCAGTCTCATTCTACGCAAATTTGGATTCTTGTGATACCTGCCACCCGAGAATGCTGTTTGATCCAAACCGAAGTACGGAAGCTAGCTTGCAATTTCAGTCGGTCATAGCTGGCGCTGAAAAGGCGAAAAAACCAAAGCAGGGAGACAACAAGGCGGCGAAGCCTGTTGGACAGGCGCAGAGATCACCAAACAGTCTGGGCTTATGGGCTTGGGCGTAGAGCTATAACATAGGATTGCAGCATGATTTTCTCAGTCGGCTTCAAGAGCTTTGATCCTGCAGTGTGCAGCTACAACGTTGCTTACACAAGACATTGACAAAAATAGTTTGCAAGAAAGACTGCACGGGCAGGTTGATCAGTTCGGACGCGAGCTTGCGGAAATTGTTGCAGCCCAAGACACCTTCACTGTGCACTCCCAGCCCGTCCGCATGAAGCCACAAGCTTGCAAGCCGTCATCCCCAGCTCGGGGCAACTGGTAGGCATGCTGCAAATGCAGGGAACAACTTAGTATGTCCGCATGACGTGCAAGGCCCGTCCTACCGGCTTAGCGAAGAAGCTGTATTCCTTCGCGCGTTGCTCAGCAAAGCATTTGTGTAACTTACATTCCTCCAGCAACAGAGTGGGACTCTGAGCAGTAGGTGGAAACGCCGCGAAAGCGTCCCCTAAGGAACCCTACTGAAACAGCACATGTGACCATGTACATAGCACTTCTCCACTTGCAAACTCTTGGCACTGCTGCTGAAGCGGGTCTCCAACCTATGAGTCTCTATGTTTTCACGTTGCTAATGCACACCGCAGAGACTCTCCAAATTGAATGTCCTCAGGACCTTCCCATCATCAAGGGCTGGAGGCTGAGGATTCCCGGGGTTTCTGGTGTAGTCACTAGCCGCACTGAGCCTCTGGGCTCGTTTGGATCAGGTCTGGGTTTGATTGACTTGGGGCTGGCTCCTTCTCGAAAGCTGCTGTTATCTCTCTGCCTCAGAACGCCAAAGCAGCCCCCCAAGCGGTAAAGACTCTGATGGCGTGCCTTAGGCCTTAGGCGACCCAAGAACTTTTACCAGTTTCATTATATTGATTGATGAGACACCGGCCAAGACCTCGCTCAGGGAAAGTCTGGGGAGACTACAGCAAGAATGACCCCAAAGAGATTGGCGTCATCTTCAAAGGCTGCGAAACGGTTTAGTGACGTGCAGCTCTGGTAAACCTGGTGGACCTGCAGTCGGTGCTGTTGCCTCCTGTGCACTCGTTTGGGCACGTTAACCGCAGGAAAGTTCGGCAATGAGACTGAGAACGCGGTATTGCAGACAACAGCTGGGTTCTTGGGAGCTTAAGATCTTAACAGCGTGTTGGCATTTGAGCTAGGCTACGCAATTAGTCACACAGGTCCTTGCCGGCGTTGCCGATCCCGAGTACATCCAGCTCCTGGTATGCATGTACATGTGATGGTTTTGCTTTGCACGTGCCGATGCCTGTGCGTGTTGTGCAACTTCATGCCAGGAGTATTCGAAACAAGACGCATGGCTGCACCATGCACCTACCATCCCCTGTGTACCAGTTTACAGAGCTCGTCTTGCAGGCAATGCTAAAAGTTGTGCGCATGACTCATGACGCAGCGAGGAACTACACAGAGGGCTATGGCATTCTCCGCCGTAACCTCAACCGAGATTGCAAGTCACATCTGGCAAGTCTGGAGAACGTGCAGATCTGACCCGAATTTTGGTGCATCTTTCGACTCTCACAAGGTGACGAGGAGACGCCAGGGCAGATCGATTTGGAGTGGACAGATTTCGAGCGGAGACGGCGGACCTACTACAAGGCAGACTTTCCAACTTTTTTGTCTTGCAGCCTTTGCCTAAAGTTCTGCACCCATTGCAGGTGCACAACTTCATACGCGTGCTGCGTGACCTAAGCGGCAAAGAGAAGAAGCAGGATAGTAATCTGCTTCACGTTGAGCTCGCTTCAGAGCCTTTCTGCTCTCTTGACCTGCGTTAGCTTGCGCGAGAGGATGTCCTCATTGTGTTCACTACCCCGGAACCGCAGTGTCGGGCTCAGTGGTCACGAGGATTAGGACAAAGCAGACGTTCTGACTACAGCGTCGGTGTGTTTTCGGGTGAAGGAAGGCATTAATGCCCTCCACTCTGTTGAAGTGAGCTGCTCAGTGTCCTGCCTGCAGGGTGGAAAAGCTTCAGAGTCTTTGGACAACTATGCGAGACTCTCTGAAACTCGGTCGGTGATGTTCTGACTGGGTGTCAAGATGTTACAAGCCACTTGTTATTAAATTCAATACAAGCTACTTGCTCTTTCGCTCTTCACAAGAGAGCATTCGGGATAGCTCAATTTCTCCGTCGTATCACCAGATAGTTCGCGCCAACGGCCTTCCAGTCTCCAGCAGTTGCAGCTGGTCTCTGGCCATGCGGTATCTATTAACTTAGGAAACTTAGGAGATGCGCACAAAGCGAGGCGCGAAAAGAGCCGGATGTGCTTTGCCGGGATGAGACCCTAGCACTTTGTGATTTGCACTAGTCCTTTGCAATTGCAGACGTGTAACCTGAACGCAGGGGGAAAGCGAGGCAACACGTAAGCGCAATAGGATGTCAGGTATCTCCTGAGTGCATGGACATGTCCGCGAATGCTATCTGACCCTTTTTCCCAGCCTTTATCACCTGGCTTATCTGGGCAGGAGACCGTGGGCGAATCTATTGGCTACAAGATCAGCGGCGACAGCAAAGTGCGCCTGCACCTCAGCCCTCTTTGGCTTTGGGAGCTCCAGACTTGGCAATCATAACCCAAAACTGCTATGGCAAGCTCTGCAACAGAAAATTTAGCTTAGGTCCGCTTAGGTAAAAGTCAATTCGCTCCCCATACTGTTCTGCACAGCAAAGCTTCTACAAACTTCATCTTGGGCTGGGTGGAGTCCCATGTAATCTGAGCTCTTGAACAGTAACGGCCCCCACAAACTGAAAAGTAATGAACAAAAAGTCAGCTCCGCAGAATCAGAAGTATAGTGATCCCATTATTTGGAAAACGTACATGGTGTTCAGTACAAAGTAAAAGCTAGAGTAAGAGCACACGTTGGAGTTGGAGGAGTAGGAGGAAGGAGGTTGGGGTTTCCCATCACGCAAAATGATTTCATTTCAATTTTCATTGATTGATTTTCAGTGGTTCAAATATTTTAAATTGGTTTCCTTAGACTATAATGTCTCTCTGGGCTTAACCATGGGAAATTGAATGGCTGCTTACATAGATTGTAATAATTGTTGATTAGATTGTTTTATCCGCTTTCAATAGATACCAACTGGATTTCTAATTGATTTTCATTGGACTTCAGATGGTTCAATCGGTTTTTAGCCGATTTCAACAACTAGACTTCAATGTATGCTTATTCAAGCATTTAACTCCTGATGACGTTTACCAAGCTCTCTTCTTCCCATTTCAAGAGCAGCCTTGGTAAGCATATTGGGGAATGAGCTCTCCCATTCTGATGTTAAGAGCCGCCTAGTAAGTGGTCTGTATACGGAGGATTTGAATCTAAAGACCCGAAACAATGTTCTATGATTCTGGCAATCTCAGGCGAGGTCCGTAAGGGTTAGCTGAGGAAACAATGTTTGAGCCTTTATTCCTAATGGGCTTCAATAAGCAAGTCTGGTCTCAGAATCAGATGTTCTATGTATTTTAAGAGCAGCCAAGTGATTGAGGAAGACCCTCAAACTAAAGACTTTTTGATCTGAGCTCTTTAGGTTTTTGAACCACAAACCACCTCTGCTTTTAGAGTAGTCTTTGAGCGCTAATCTGGCCCCAATACTTCTTTAGGTCTTGGGGGTTCTCTCATCGTTGAGCTCGTATGAAGTACTTTGCCTAACACCAGCGCAGCAAAAGACACCCTGAGCGAGAATGCAGCCCTCAAAGCCCAGAAAGAGTGGTCCAAAAAAGTAGGATTTGCGAACCCTGGCTGACCAGGCCCTGGAAGGACTAAGCTGGTCTATGTGACCACAGGATACCTTCTCCAGGCTCCGACTGATGTTTCTGAAGGGCTTCCTTGCTTGGGTCAAGTGGAGTCGTTTGTGTTACTGCCGCCGCCGCCGCCGCCAGCGCCACCGCCACCGCCACCGCCACCGCCAGCGCCAGCGCCAGCGCCAGCGCCAGCGCCAGCGCCAGCGCCAGCCGCACAACCACCAGCAGCAAGAGCACCAGAACCACCAGCAACAGCACCAGCACCAGGACCAGCACCAGGACAGCA